CCTCACCGCTCCCTCCCCTCTCCCTCGCTGCTGTGACCGGGCGTGTGGGTTCCCCGCAGCCAGCGATGCTCCAGTTCTCTGCGGACACCAGCTGGGTGCCCTGCAACTTGACTCACTTCTGACACTAACCACCAGAGTTAGCATCACTCCCCACCCCCATTGCTGACTTTGGACACCAATTGCAAGTAGTGGGTCCCCTGGGACCCTCATTTGTGTCCAACATGGTCACAAATTTGGGCTTTCATGCCCCTCTCGGGTCCCATCGTGTTGGGAACAGCGCAGGCAGATGCTTGCTTACAGTGCATGTCTGATGTAATAAAGGGTGTGTGAGTAGGCGCATGAAGAGCCACACAGGGTGAGGTCCAGAAGGGCTGAGCACGGGCTCAGGCCCGGTGGGGCCGGGGTGCTTCCATCCACCTTCCGGAAGCCATGTGAGCCCCATTCCCCGGGGACATTAATGGAGGCATGCTCATTAGTGATTCGATCTCCAGCCCCTCCCCCGTCCCCAGAGGATGCAGGCTACTGCGGAAAGTTCCCACTTCTAATCACTGCTTGGGCTTCTAGTGGCAGCCTCCATCCAGCAGCCCTCCAGAGTTGCCTCATTAGAACAGAATATATTTCAATCACCCAGGAAATTGCAAGGGAGTTAGGAGGCCAGGAGCCCGGAGCAAAGACCGAGAGATCTCTGTCTTCCTGTATCACACGACGCTGTGCTCACCATCACCCACGTTAGGGAGCATCGCTGTCCTGCAGATGAGCAGCTGAGGCTCCAAGGGTCACAGGAATTACTCGGCATCACACAGCAGAGTGGCAGAACCAGGTCTGGGGGCAAAAGCCCTCTGACTGCATGGCCCTGAATTCAAGCCCTGGACTCTACCGCCTGCCGGACCCTGGGGGGAGGGAGGGGCCACGGCAACCTGGAGGCAGAGGATGGTCCAGAGGCCTCCAGCCCAGCGATGGCCACTGTGGGGTTAACCAGGGGCCTCCGGGCATCTGTGGGAAGGAGAGTCCTGGAGCAGGGTGGCCCCAGATCTCTCTGTTCTTAATTAACTAGAAATGGAGGGTCAGGACCTGCCTTTCTGTGCAACCCTGGTGGGACCCTGGAGGCAGCAGCCTGGGATGTCAGGATGGCAGCCTCCCGCCCGGCCCAACCCGGCCTGCTGTCCACTAGGCAGCATCTATGACACCAGCTGGTCTGTCAGTTCCTCCTGAGTGCCGCGGGTTTGCAGCTCAGCCTCCGGTCACCGGGCTGCTGTGGGCACTGGTGGCAGGGAGGTGCAGCCCGCCCACAGTGGACATGGCCGAGCCCGTGGCAATTACCTGTTGCCTCTCCTCACAGACGCTGAGGGAGTGGGTGGCCGTGGAGAGTGACTCGGTGCAGCCCCTACCCCGCCTCCGACGGGAGCTCCTCAGGATGATGGCCCAGGCTGCAGACAAGCTCCGGCACCTGGGAGCCACCGTGGCCTCTGTGGACCTGGGATCTCAGCAGGTGCTGGGCGGGCCCCTGCCCCTAGGGGCTGCCCCTCTGGGCCCACCGGCCCACCTGTCACTGGGGGTGGCAAGACGGGGGTGGCCTGATCCTCGGCGGAGTCGCCCAGGTAATCTCCATGCCCAGCGCAGGTGAAAAACATGAGGAACTCTACCTCCCCAAGGAGACAGTCATGATTTCTCGTCCTGTCAGGACTGCAGTGAGGGGAGAGCAAGGGGAAGAGATGAGTGAGGGTCAGCTTATAATGGAAGGCCCCCCGCCACCCCACCGCACCTCCTCCGCGCGGGGGTCAGATCCCTCCCAAGCTGTCCTTCCCTTAAATCTAAATGCATCTTTCTCAAAGGAGCCACTCTTTTGTCAGGGTCATTGCTCGTCACTGCCACTCAGCCACGGATGGCGAGCTAAGCACCGTGCTGCCTGCTTTGGCATCAGTGAGTTCTGAATGGTGTGTGTTTTCTAGAACTGTGGAAAGTTCTGGAAATTTAAGCTAGTTGAGTGAGTCATGGTGAACAGCATGTTCAATTGAGTTTACTATTTGTCAGTGTGTATCTAAGGAAGTACTTTACTTTTAATTATGTTTTATGTTTCAATTAAAAACATCTCAATGTACTTATTTTAGACCTGGGTAAAGTGATGATCAGAATTATTATGTGGGCACTACGAGGACCCAGGGGTGGAAACAGGACTCCTGAAGTCATGCCTCTGAATTTTTTGCAAGAACTAAACAGCATTTATTTTTAAATACAATCATTTTCCTTCTTCAGCTGCCTGATGGTCAGACTCTCCCAATACCTCCCATCATCCTGGCTGACCTGGGGAATGACCCCAAGAAGCCCACCGTGTGCTTCTATGGCCACCTGGACGTGCAGCCGGCTAGGACAGACGATGGGTGGCTCACGGACCCCTACCAGCTCACGGAAGTGGATGGTCGGTAACACGTCAGGGCTGGTTCCTGTGTGAAACGCCCGATGTGGCTCCTGCTCGGCGGCAGGTCCCCCCCTGCTGTCGTAAAGAATGAACAAAATGATGCTCTTGAAGGCCACCCCTCGGTCCGAGTGATTTTCTTTGTGTGTTGGGGAAGCTATAAATCTTTCTGCCTTTGGAGGAATTAACTCCCTGGGCTGGGAGCCCATAGTGAGGAAAACAGGTTTCTAGATCACATTTTTTTTTTTAGAAATACCAAATATAATTATGTTTATTTTTTAAGGAAAGGAAGAAAAAAGTTAATGGAGAAGCACATGCACCCTTTTTTCCACACTTCCATTAATTATAAAACCTCAGAATGAGAAGTTGTGCCGCATTACATGTGTGACAGATCCTCAGGTCCTTCTCCAGAGTGTGGATAAAATTGCTAATCACTGTTAAGGCCAAAAGGGTCTGTATGTTTTGAACTAGCTTACCTTATCTGACTAGCAGGTGGCAGTACTATTTGTACATAAGAAAACAGACTTTCCATTTTCAGGGCAAGATTTGTGCCTGGAAAAATAGAAAGTGCTATTAAAATGCTTACCCACAAAATGACCTTTGTTTTCAATTTGCTCAGCTTGGCAGAGATGTCCATGCTTTCCTAAAAATTCTTCCTCTACTGTTAAAGGGAAACTTTATGGACGAGGAGCCACAGACAACAAAGGCCCTGTGTTGGCGTGGATCAATGCCGTGAGCACCTTCAGAGCCCTGGAGGAAGTAGGTGACAGCTGTGTTTGGGAGAGAGCATGCTGACCACAGTGACAGTGATGATAGGAAGGCAACGTGCTTTGAGTCGCTCCAGGGTACAAACTGTGTCATGTCCTTTATTCTTCCCCAGTCCCCAGAGGTGTGCGTTGGAATTGCATCCATTTTACAGATGAGGGAAGTGAGGCTTGGAAGGGAAGGGCATTTGCTCAGAGCTGCCAGCTGGTGTGGGGCAGGGATGGTACTCTGAACCTTGCTGTTGACACAGTAAATAACAAAACACAACAAAAACCATGATGTGCCTGTGGCTAAGTTGCTTTCTGCTGGGACTTGTCCTTTTATCTTCATCTTATTTTAGCTTGTCTTTTTGTCTTCCCCTCCTTCTCACAACATATGGTCTTATTAGTAGACAGACATATACTTTAAAAAATATATAAGCCCCTTTGCAAATTTTCAAGGTAGAAATCTCTGGTACATGACATTCCTTCTGAATCCTTAGATCTCTTTCCAATTCCTATGGAAAGTAGTTTCAATAGTTGTCCAAATGGGGCTGCAGAAAGGCGGGGGTGTAGCTTTGAGGAGGGGGCTCCCCCTTCAAGGCCACAAGGATGGGGTTGGAGAACCCAGGTCTGCCTCTCCGATGCTCTGACCTCACACCGCTCTCTCCTCTTCTGCTGATGAATTCAACCTGGCTGTGTAACCACAGGTGCAGGGCCTCTTCTCTGGGCCTTGGACTCTGTTCTGCAGAAATGAGGGAGTGATCCGGGTGGTCACCTTTCTCATGCTGTTTATTCGATGGCACACTTCCATTTCACGCAGAAGTGGCCCTTCTAGTTAGTGAGCCTGGGACTGGAGCTCCTCAGGATGATGGCCCAGGCTGCAGACAAGCTCCGGCACCTGGGAGCCACCGTGGCCTCTGTGGACCTGGGATCTCAGCAGGTGCTGGGCGGGCCCCTGCCCCTAGGGGCTGCCCCTCTGGGCCCACCGGCCCACCTGTCACTGGGGGTGGCAAGACGGGGGTGGCCTGATCCTCGGCGGAGTCGCCCAGGTAATCTCCATGCCCAGTGCAGGTGAAAAACATGAGGAACTCTACCTCCCCAAGGAGACAGTCATGATTTCTCGTCCTGTCAGGACTGCAGTGAGGGGAGAGCAAGGGGAAGAGATGAGTGAGGGTCAGCTTATAATGGAAGGCCCCCCGCCACCCCACCGCACCTCCTCCGCGCGGGGGTCAGATCCCTCCCAAGCTGTCCTTCCCTTAAATCTAAATGCATCTTTCTCAAAGGAGCCACTCTTTTGTCAGGGTCATTGCTCGTCACTGCCACTCAGCCACGGATGGCGAGCTAAGCACTGTGCTGCCTGCTTTGGCATCAGTGAGTTCTGAATGGTGTGTGTTTTCTAGAACTGTGGAAAGTTCTGGAAATTTAAGCTAGTTGAGTGAGTCATGGTGAACAGCATGTTCAATTGAGTTTACTATTTGTCAGTGTGTATCTAAGGAAGTACTTTACTTTTAATTATGTTTTATGTTTCAATTAAAAACATCTCAATGTACTTATTTTAGACCTGGGTAAAGTGATGATCAGAATTATTATGTGGGCACTACGAGGACCCAGGGGTGGAAACAGGACTCCTGAAGTCATGCCTCTGAATTTTTTGCAAGAACTAAACAGCATTTATTTTTAAATACAATCATTTTCCTTCTTCAGCTGCCTGATGGTCAGACTCTCCCAATACCTCCCATCATCCTGGCTGACCTGGGGAATGACCCCAAGAAGCCCACCGTGTGCTTCTATGGCCACCTGGACGTGCAGCCGGCTAGGACAGACGATGGGTGGCTCACGGACCCCTACCAGCTCACGGAAGTGGATGGTCGGTAACACGTCAGGGCTGGTTCCTGTGTGAAACGCCCGATGTGGCTCCTGCTCGGCGGCAGGTCCCCCCCTGCTGTCGTAAAGAATGAACAAAATGATGCTCTTGAAGGCCACCCCTCGGTCCGAGTGATTTTCTTTGTGTGTTGGGGAAGCTATAAATCTTTCTGCCTTTGGAGGAATTAACTCCCTGGGCTGGGAGCCCATAGTGAGGAAAACAGGTTTCTAGATCACATTTTTTTTTTTAGAAATACCAAATATAATTATGTTTATTTTTTAAGGAAAGGAAGAAAAAAGTTAATGGAGAAGCACATGCACCCTTTTTCCACACTTCCATTAATTATAAAACCTCAGAATGAGAAGTTGTGCCGCATTACATGTGTGACAGATCCTCAGGTCCTTCTCCAGAGTGTGGATAAAATTGCTAATCACTGTTAAGGCCAAAAGGGTCTGTATGTTTTGAACTAGCTTACCTTATCTGACTAGCAGGTGGCAGTACTATTTGTACATAAGAAAACAGACTTTCCATTTTCAGGGCAAGATTTGTGCCTGGAAAAATAGAAAGTGCTATTAAAATGCTTACCCACAAAATGACCTTTGTTTTCAATTTGCTCAGCTTGGCAGAGATGTCCATGCTTTCCTAAAAATTCTTCCTCTACTGTTAAAGGGAAACTTTATGGACGAGGAGCCACAGACAACAAAGGCCCTGTGTTGGCGTGGATCAATGCCGTGAGCACCTTCAGAGCCCTGGAGGAAGTAGGTGACAGCTGTGTTTGGGAGAGAGCATGCTGACCACAGTGACAGTGATGATAGGAAGGCAACGTGCTTTGAGTCGCTCCAGGGTACAAACTGTGTCATGTCCTTTATTCTTCCCCAGTCCCCAGAGGTGTGCATTGGAATTGCATCCATTTTACAGATGAGGGAAGTGAGGCTTGGAAGGGAAGGGCATTTGCTCAGAGCTGCCAGCTGATCTGGGGCAGGGATGGTACTCTGAACCTTGCTGTTGACACAGTAAATAACAAAACACAACAAAAACCATGATGTGCCTGTGGCTAAGTTGCTTTCTGCTGGGACTTGTCCTTTTATCTTCATCTTATTTTAGCTTGTCTTTTTGTCTTCCCCTCCTTCTCACAACATATGGTCTTATTAGTAGACAGACATATACTTTAAAAAATATATAAGCCCCTTTGCAAATTTTCAAGGTAGAAATCTCTGGTACATGACATTCCTTCTGAATCCTTAGATCTCTTTCCAATTCCTATGGAAAGTAGTTTCAATAGTTGTCCAAATGGGGCTGCAGAAAGGCGGGGGTGTAGCTTCGAGGAGGGGGTTCCCCCTTCAAGGCCACAAGGATGGGGTTGGAGAACCCAGGTCTGCCTCTCCGATGCTCTGACCTCACACCGCTCTCTCCTCTTCTGCTGATGAATTCAACCTGGCTGTGTAACCACAGGTGCAGGGCCTCGTCTCTGGGCCTTGGACTCTGTTCTGCAGAAATGAGGGAGTGATCCGGGTGGTCACCTTTCTCATGCTGTTTATTCGATGGCACACTTCCATTTCACGCAGAAGTGGCCCTTCTAGTTAGTGAGCCTGGGACGGGGAGAGCTGGCCGGGGCCCCCAGTCCCTATCCTCCCCGCTTGGGAGAACAGGGGATCCCCTGTGCTGTTCCGGGACACTGCGAGGAGAGGCAGCTTGAGGGCCGGAGGTAGTGGGAGGACCACTGGAAATGACTGAGGAAATGGAGAAGGGAGGACGAAGAGGGGAGGCACTGTTACCCCTGCTCCCCAGGCATCTCCCAAGGAGGGGCGCCCCTGGCCTGCCCTGAGCTCTATGTCCAGGGCACCTGCTGTGTGCACACCGAGCACTAAGAGGGCCTGGGGCTCCAGAGCCCTGGCCTCTTCCCAGCTCGCACTGGACCTGCTCCAGAGAGCCCTGAGGCCTCCGGGGGCACACTTGGTATGCTCCGAGGTGGTCTTGGTATTCTAGGGGGGTTCCTCAGGGCCCTTTAAGCCAGGGTTTCTCTTCTGCTCAGACCCAGCCAATGGCTGTTCACTGTCGAACATTCTTCCAAGTGCAGTTTGAATGGGGCTGTCTGACCCCAACAACTATTAAGTCGTAGGATTGCCATTTTATGGAAATATTCAGAAGCAGCAGATGCCAACCTTGCTCAATGCAGTATACGCGGAGGAGGCTTGCCTTGACTCTGTGGGGACATGCCAAGGAATTAGAACAGCTCTGTCTGGGCTCCGGGTGTCAGCTCTGTGGCTTTGGGGCACAGAAGGATTTTGTGGGGCTACCTTAAAGGTGTGTAGCCTTGCTACCTTTCCCCCATCTAACTCGCACGGCCTAATAGAATTAAGCACTTTTGAATACTAGGTGTTTGAGAAGGAAATGGGATTCGCGTGCTGGGTTCAAGGACCAAAAAGAAAGTGTCAGCAGGCACAGAGCAAACCCCTGCCTGTGACCCCACCCCCAGCCCCTGCAGAGTGCTGGGGAGCCGCATAGCCTTACAGGCAGAAGAGGTTCAAGGCCAGGGCTCTGCTGTGCCATGGACCTGAGGCTGTAGGGGTCCCTCTCCAGATGCCACCCCCGCAGGGTGAACGTGATGCCACTTGGCACAGTGGCCAGATTGAGATGGCCGGTGGGCCTCCCCAGGACCTGCCACCAGAACAGGTCCTGCCTTCTGGGATCTTCTTCGTGAGGCAGTGTCATCAGATGCCAGGGGCCTCTCTTTCATGAGTTTCTTTTCTCCTGAGACATAAGCAGGAGAGAGGGGGTGTAGCTGCTCCCATTTCACTGCTTTGTCTCATGCCTGCAGAGCGCTGTGCTGGCTGGTCCCACGTCCCCCAGTGGCCATGTCCACGTGCTCACATTCAGTGAGCCCTAAACATTTACGTGGCTTTGGTTTCTCCCTTTCCCCTTCTTTAATTCTTTCTTTCTGTCTGTCTGTCTGTCTTTCCCCTTTCCTCCCTCCCTCTCTGATGTCTGTCCTTCTTTCTAAGAGGGAAAGCAGTATTTGTAAGAAAGATCCTATGTCAGGGCAAACCTGCTTTGCTTTTTAAATTTCAACTCTGAAACTTACATAGTCACAGACAAAACATAAGACACATTCACTGCCCTTGGACAAATTGGTTAATCTCTCCAAGCCTCATTTTCCTTTTCTGTTAATGAGAAACGTTTATTTCCACCCCTGGGCAGTTGGGTGGATGACATGAAGTAACATGTACGGTGCCCAGCCCTCTGTGGGTGTCTGTTTCCTTCCTAGTCCCCCCTGCCCTCCTGTGCTCTCTCTCTGGCCTGATCACCTAGTATATAAATGTCACTAGATTATCTCACCAAGAGCCAGAGCGAGTATTAAAGCCACACTGCATAGATAGTGAGCAGCTGAGAGGTGAAATGGCTCGTCCCAGGGGACGGAACAGAGACCAATACTCACGCCTGGCTGCCATCCTCCTCCTCCTCCAGCACTCAGAAGCAATTGGCTTGTTTTTTATTAATCATGTTTTGCAAGAATATTCTTAGGCTTTCCAACTACTTCTCAGCAGTTGAGTTAAATGTTAATGAAGAGCTTCCAAATATTAAGATTTCAGAATTTAAGCTTAACTTCCTAAAACACCTAGAAATGTAAGCAAGGGCTACACTTGAACAAATCCTTATTCCCACAGGCCCTCCGCCAACAGAGTGACCGAGGGTCCCTTATCTTCTAACAGCTAATCCTCGACGCATCATGCCTTTGTTCATCTTTGGCGAGTTAGTGCCACTCGGTAGAACTAGCTAGTGTGTTCCTGTGGCCGTGTGTCTGCACAGTCACTGAGAGCTCTCCCGCGTGTGTTTTATGCCCCAGGAGAAGACACTGACCTCTCCTCTTCACGCAGCTCTCACAGATATGAGGTTTGAATTATAAAGACACAAAAAGATGAAGACCAAATGGGGGAAAAGGCACACTGAAAATCTTAGAGGCGCTACTCCATCCCCTCATAATAGCTAGAGAAAAACTCAAGTTCCATATCACTACGAGATCAAAGCCTTTGAATAAGTTAAAAGGCAGATTGAACTCATAGCTGAGAAATGAGATACTTGAAATAAAAATTATCCTGAGGCTTAAACATTAGACAGTCTTTCAAAGGGCAGAGTTCTTCATCATGCTCAGCATTTGAGGACAGAAGAGGTTTGTAACTGAGTAACCTTCCTGGGGAAATTCCCTTGGGGGGGCACCGTGCCTCCGTCTGCGGGCCCAGCAGTGCCACGGGCAGCTGCTGTCCCATCGGGATGCCCCCACGTCCTCCGGCAGTCCCAGCCTGAGGCTGGTGGGCCACGGGCAGCCGCTGACCCGTTGGGAACCCCCACATCCGCCGGCGGTCCCGGCCTGAGTCTGGTGGGCCACGGGCAGCCGCTATCCCATCAGGATGCCCCCACGTCCTCCAGCGGTCCCGGCCTGAGTCTGGTGGGCCACGGGCAGCCGCTGTCCCGTCGGGACCCCCACCACCACATCCGCCGGCGGTCCCGGCCTGAGGCTGGTGGGCCACGGGCAGCTGCTGTCCCGTCGGGACCCCCCACCCCCATGTCCTCTGGCGGTCCCGGCCTGAGGCTGGTGGGCCACAGGCAGCCGCTGACCCGTTGGGACGCCCCCACATCCTCCGGCATCCCGGCCTGCGTCTGGTGGGCCATGGGCAGCTGCTGTCCCATCGGGACCCCCCACCCCCATGTCCTCCCGCGGTCCCGGCCTGCGGCTGGTGGGCCACGGCAGTGTGCAGGGGGCGTGGCCTGGGGTCTCCCTCACCGTCTCAGTTCAAACTCCTTTGTCGTAAGCAGAGCTGTTGGGAATGTGAGCAGCCCACACACTGAATGTACACAATAATGTGTTTATGTCACACGCAGACTAATCCTGAATCTCAAAAGGTGAAGGGCAAGCTATGCAGTTTTTTGACAGAATGGTTTGTTTTGTAAATTTAATTCAGGATCTCCCTGTGAATATCAAATTCATCCTTGAAGGGATGGAAGAAGCTGGTTCTATTGCTCTGGAAGAACTCGTCCAAAAAGAAAAGGACCGATTCTTTGCCGGTGTAGACTACATCGTGATTTCAGATAATCTGTGGCTCAGCCGGAGGAAGCCCGCACTCACCTACGGAACCCGAGGGAACAGCTACTTCACTGTGGAGGTATTTGCGGTCGACAGGGCCGCGCGGCAGGCATCTGTGCGGGGATCTTGGTGGGAAAGAGACAGAGCTCTTGGGAGAGAAGAGGTCGTATCTGGATGCATGGTGGGGTCACGGAGGTCCTAGGACTGGGGGAGCCGGCGGAGCTTCCCCGCTGGGCGTGGCTGGGCCTTGTGCGCGACTCTGGAGAGAGGATTCAGAGGGGGTTCGGCTCGTGAACTGATGAAATTCGTCTGGTGAAATGAAAGTCTTCAGCTAAAGTGACATTGAAGATGCATCGGAGCAGGGAAACCAGCCAGGAGGGAATGAACCAAAGGTCCGATTTTAAGGATCTCATTAGATGTTGTCAGCGGACTGGGATGTGGCAAAGGAGCGATCAGATGCCGCACTGGGGCGGCGACCTCACAGGACGGGGTCTCCCCTTGTTCTGGAAGCGGGCGAGCTGGCAGGAAGGGACCGCAGGAGATGCGGGGTTCACTGCTAGGCCGGCTGAGTGCACCATAGCCCCCACCCCACCCTTAGGTCTGGTGAGCAGGCAAAAGATCAGACCCGCAGGGACGGACATTTAGGAGGAGGGAGGGAGTAAATGAACCTGCCGAGTTAGTTCTTGAAGCTCTGCGTGCAGAGGAGGAACGAGCCGTGTGTGTTAAGTTCCAGGGGTGGAGACAGAAAAGGAGTTATTAGAGGGAACTTGAATAGAATCGTCCTTTGGACAAAAAAGGGAAGGGGAGAAAGTTCCTCAAAAACCATGGGAGGAGAATTTTTTTGGAAGGAGGGGCGAGCAGCAGCTGGAGCGGAACGCGGAAGACTGGGCAACACATGGGCAGACGAGTCCTGGCCGGGAGCACCGGCCCCTCGGGTGGGACCGCGCTGGGGGGCTGCGGGGGGCTGAGGCCGTCGTGCGAGGACCCAGGACCCAGTGGGAAGCGAGGACGTGGGCGCGGCAGGTGCTGCAGCCATGTGCCTGCGCAGGAGGGGAAGTGCGACGCCAGGGCGCCCGCCCAGGCCCCCGTGGGGTGAGCGCCCGTCTTCTCTCTGACCTGCCTTACAGGTGAAATGCAGAGATCAGGACTTCCATTCGGGAACCTTCGGTGGTATCCTCAACGAGCCGATGGCCGATCTGGTCGCTCTCCTCGGTAATGTCCCATTTCAGTTCCCTTTTTAAGCATCAGCACCTCTCCTGGAACGCGGTTGCGTTTACCTCCGCGTGTCCCTCCTTGCTTGGGTTCTAAGCCAGCTCTGAATACGGGCAGCGCAGAAGAAAACCACGTTCTTAGCTCCCCCTCCCCCCCGGCCGAATGTTCCCTAGGCTTTATGTCCGTGGATTTCTTTCCACGGAGTGGCACCCCTCCTCAGTCCACCCCCCCTCCTTTCCTGGGTGTTGTGACCCATCAGGCCCCGCTCAGGTTGTGCGGAGACCCTTCTGAGGAGCGACCAGGTGAGGTGTGGCGCTAGACACAGGGGCACCCTCGGCCTCCTCCTCCTGCCGCTCTGGACCCCAGGGCCCCGAGGCCCGCGAGGCTGCTGGCTGTCCCGCGCCTGCGCCCCGCCGAGCGCCTGCTGTGTGCAAGCACAGCTCGGCGGTGGCTGCGTGTGCTTCTGCGTGCGCATCCGCTTTCCCAGAGCCGGTTTGCCCCTGGGGCCTCTGATAGCTCTCGCACTTGCCAGGCCTGCACAGAACTGAGCGAAGCTGCATCTTTAGGTGCTTGCTTGTGGAAGTGCCTCTCACAGACCTGGCAGGGACACTGCACTTGTATATTCATAATTTAGGGCTCTTTTATTAAAAAGAGGTTCTCAGGTTATGTCAGCTCCACACCCCACAATATGTGGATCTGTCGCCCCTGGCATGATGAGTATGTTGATGAAGGTTTTACAACGTGTGCCTTTTGGGCAGACAAACTACCGAGGACCTTGCCCTCTAGGGGATCAACTAGCAAAGCCTCTTCTTTGTCTGTGTTGGCACAGCTCTGCCTCAGCCCCACCGGCTCCGTGGCACCTGCTCAGCCTGGCCATCCGGACGGAGCTCAGTCAGCCCGCCTGCACGACCCGTTGGGAGGGGCCCTCTGGGTCTTTTCTGTGTTAGAGGTTTCTGCTCCTTCATTCTCCAAATTAGAGAATGGACTCGTCTGTGTGTCTGTCTATGTATCTGCCATCTATCAGTCATCTCTCTTTCTCCATTTCTTCTGTGGCCTTCTAGTCTTTCTAAAACAAAATTGTCAGACAGTGTTTCTAATGCTTGACAATTTCAGACAGGATACAACAAGCCATTTTCTTCCAAACTGTTCACATTGTTCCCAGAGGACTCCGGATAGTATGCAATTTAGTATTTGGGGGGATTAAAAGGTTGATTCTCTATTTTACCAGAACTAATTTTCTCTTCCTTTGGAACAGCATCATGGAATCTCTGCAGGGCATTTTGATTCCCCCAGTCATGATCACGGTCTCCCATCCTTTCAGACTCATGGTTTCATCCAGGGATAGAATCCTGGTCAGCCCACGGATGCTTATCGCTCTGTGAGGATGTCAGATCAGGATCGTGAGCGGAATGAAAAGCACATGGGTTCATTTTCTTTAAAATTTGAAACAAATCAAATAATGAGTCCACAGCAGAGTGGTTCTGGATGGTGCCCCCTCTGTGGTTTCCATGTGCTTTGTACGAGCACAGAAGGACCCAGGGTGGGGCTTTGGCACTGGTCAGAGGACACACAGGGATTTCGCTCGCTGTCCCGCTGGGTGCTGGGCGGGACTTCCCGTTCCCTCCCGTGGGGCCCCTGCAGGCGGAGCTGTCACAGGAAAGCTGGTTCTGACCTGGCCTCCTTTGCAGGCTGGCGGGTGCCCTGTACTTCAGACGGGAAACCAGAAATCCAGACCACAGCCCTCCTGCTGCCGTGGGACCTTGTGCACATTCCTACCCTCTCTGTCCTTCAAGCTGCTCATGGGTGTGATCCTGATGACCAGTGTGGTCGCTAATAGGTCACAGACATTTAAGTGCCAGCTCTGTGTGGCAGTCTCCACTAGGGACTCAAGGGGTGACCGTAAGTTCCCCATTTCAAAGAAACTTGAAATGCAGGGTGTGGGGAGGCTGGAGCCCCTGGGTGAGCCCTGCTCACGCAGGCCCTCAGCTTCTGGGCCCGCCTTTGGCAGACAGCGCCCCCCAGTGGATGGAAAGGGAAGGGAGCATGATGGGGACGTTGCTCTCTGGCCAGGACGAGTGTCCGCCGGCCCTCTCCCGAGCCATTTGGGGAAAACAGGATCTGTGATTTGAAAGGGCTCCAGGGACTGGGGCTGGCAGTGCCTGGAGGAGCCCAGCGAATGGCGAAACCACGCTGCTCAGAACACAGCCCAGTTTGCTGAGGACACTGAAACCCTGCACCCCCACACCCCAGTGGTGCTGTCTAGCAGCACCAGCTGAAAGGACAGAAAAAAGTCATAGCTGAGGATCATGATGTGGACACTGAGCTAGTGTATTTCAGGATTTGTTTTTTCAAACCCACTCTTCTCACTGCTGAGACTACCTGTTGAGCCCACTCAGCCTGCAGCCCAGCCCAGTGCTGCCCTGAGCTGGTCACTGCCTGCCCCTCCCTGTCCCCCTGCTTGCTCCTCCATAGAGACCTCCTCTTGTGGGCCCAAGGAGATCTCTGCCCAGTGGCCTGTCAGCACGACTGCAAACAGGGTTTGTCTCCTGTTCATGTTTGCAGCTCTTGCGTAGTTAATGCCAGCAGTTTGGGGACATACACCAAAGGCAAGACTTCGTGACTGTGGTATTGGTGAGGTTTGCTTTGGGTTGATTTTGGTGAAGGTCATGGAAGGTGGACTGTGAATCACAGAGAGCCTGTCCCAGTCACTCAGCACCCAACTTACTTTTTGAATGGATTTTATTAATGGGTTTGAATGGTTCATTTAATACACAATATACTTTATTGGACTAATGAAAGGAATTCATAGCTCAGAACCCGGTAGAGGCAGACACATGCATAGATCCCGAAGTGCATCCCCGAGTGTGGTTACAGACTTCTGGGGGATGCATGGGGGCATCAGGAGCAGCTCTGGGAAGGATGTGGTTGGAGTCTTCCTTTTTCATTTAGCCGCCTTGACATCCAACTTCAGGGTTTGCTGTGATCATCTCAAAGAGCTGGGAAGCTCATTTACCAACTGCACTACTGCCGTCCCTGTAGGTTTTGGTTAGGGTATCTGGCATTACTTGTTTCTACAGAGAGCTAACACCTGTTGGTCCATTCATGTGGGGCCATACTTGTTCCTTAGCCTTGTGTGGTCAGGGATGGTGTCCTCATTGATGAAAAGGTGGGGTCTATGCCTTGTCACATCCCAGCATGCATCCGGAACCTAGAACATAGCAGGTGTCCAGTAACAGGTGTAATTGGTTCTCATGAGCCCTCAGCCCCAAGCTTTGTAATTGTGGACTTTAACAGCAAGATTTGAAAATACAATGCTTTACAGCAGTTCTCTGACATTGTCAGGTTATATTCAAATTAGGAATGTGGAACATATTTTTATGAGGTGTCTTTATTTGAATAAAAGTCCCAGGTAAATTGAGGATGAATTGAGCTGCCCTTTTTCATTGTTTATGTTAATCTAGTTGCTGGTCACATTCCATCTTTAATAAGTACTTCCTCAAGATAGTAGTGTCTCTAAATCTCTGTATCTGCTTCTTTTAGAGGTATTCACTGATAGTTTTTCCCCATTCCTATTGATTCCAAAGCTCTTTCATAAATAACAGACAAGTATACCTGCTTATTCACTATGAAGGCTTTGAGGTCATGATGTGTATCTCATAGACTAGACCTCAAGGGTATTATGCTTCTGATTAAAGATGAGTATTGATTATATGAACATGCTGTGTGGAGGGGGAGACAAGTTGGAGAGGAATGGTGATTCTCAGTTTCTCAGGTATGCATGTATAGCCATATATATTTAAAAATTGTTATAATGAACACATAGTACATTTTAACTCAGTATAAGTCAAAAACTGAAAAAAAAAATCTTGTTTATGACCCGAAAGTTACAGCAGAGACCTTGAATGTATTGCAGGTAAGTCATACCCAAATTAATTTATTTTAGACCCATGTGTTTTCATCCCTCCACTGACAAGGTAGATATTGAATGGGTCAGACCCAGGCTGGCCGTCTCCTTCCCCCGACCATCACCTCTGGATGTGAGTTGCTGTCAGCTGCCCGAGCCCCCGCGGTCCTGCTCCACGGCCAGAGCATCAGCATGTCCTAACTTCTCCCCGGCTTTGTTCCCTGTGTGAGTCCATAGGTAGCCTTGTGGACTCATCTGGCCATATTCTGATTCCTGGAATCTATGACCACGTGGCTCCTCTTACCGAAGAGGAAAGGAACATGTACAAAGCCATAGATCTGGGCCTGGAAGAGCACCGGAATAGCAGCCAGGTTAAGAAATTTCTGTTTGACACCAAGGTATGGTCACAAGTTAATGGATAATCTGAAAAGAATGACAATAATAAATTGTATTTTCCCAATGCCTAAGTTACCATGTGCATGTGCTGCTAATCTGCACATCTTAGAACCGAACGCAAATGCCACGTCTGAGGCAGATTTTCCCTCGAACGGCCGCTGTATTGCCCAGCCCTTACCTGGGGTCTGATGGGCTCTGTCTCTGGCTCCTGACCTTGGGCAGTCGTCACTCAGTTCCCAGCGGTACCTTTCCGAATCAGTTTATTAGACCCTGTCCCATGCCAGCCTTCAGCCGTGAGCTGGGCATCCTGTCTGTTTAAAGACTGAGAATAGTCTGAGGTTATTCCAGCACTAAGACATCCAGTTTTGTTCACGTTCTTGGGTAAAACCAAGAGCCTTAGGGGCTAATCTGCAAGTCGCTGCATGACTGCCTCAGTGTGGTATGTAGATCAGGAGATTCTTCTCCCCCCTTCTCCCCTCCATCCTCTTCGGAGTGCTTGCCTGCTGCCGTGTTTGGGAGCTGTGGCCAGTTCCCAGGGAAGTGCAGGAGGACAGAGCATGCTGAGCACAGGTGGTGGCGCTCATGGTTAGCAAGTGTGTCTCTTCTCTAAGGACACAGCAAGAAAGAGGAGTGGCTCAAACATCTGCAGAGTTCTTTGAAGCCTTCCGAAAAGTGAAATGCATTTAGTACACAAGCTCTCACTGCGATAATTACAGACAGAAATTTACAATTGAATCCGAGTGTCTGAATGGCCCCCGGGGCCACCTGCTAACTTCATTGCTGGGGTGCTGGGGGCCCCTGTCAGGGGAGCTGCTGGGCTGGCAGGGGCAGCCAGAGCTCATGTCCTCAGGGAAAAGCCCACCCAGGCAATCAGTCCAGACACTGCAAAGTAGGCTAATAATGACCTTGTCACAAGACGTGTCACAGATGTTCAGAAATTGGTGATACAGCAATATACAACTCAGTGGAGTTTTAACTGAATATTCTTTTATATAATTATTTTAATTTAGGAGGAAATTCTGATGCACCTGTGGAGGTACCCTTCTCTTTCTATTCATGGGATTGAAGGCGCATCCAACGAGCCTGGAGCTAAGACAGCCATACCTGGCCGAGTTGTGGGAAAATTTTCAATCCGTCTGGTCCCTCATATGGACATGTCTGTGGTGGATAAGCAGGTAGCAAATGCCTCATCCCACCCAGCACTGTCTGCACAGGTCCCTCATTGGCAGGGAAGAGTCCTTATTTCCTGGGTAAAAGGGCCTGGAACAAATGTCAAGAACCCAGTGTAGTTTTTGTTTGGTAAAAGTCTCTTTCATCAATTACATGCAATTACAGTAGTCAGATAAATAGCCGCTTAGAGCAGGAGCCATGGGAATTTTAAAAACGTTAAATGGTAGGTATACAGATGGATGAGTTTCACGTGGATGGAGAAGCGAACTGCTAGCAGCGGGATCCAGCCAGAAAATGCCCAGCCCCAGGGGTGGTCTGCCCATGCCTCAAAGTGGCCACTGTAGGGACAGTGCTATCTGGAAGGGGTTCTCTGTCTAAATCTCAACTGCCATGTGTGCCTCAAGTTGAGCAGAGTAGGCTGAATACGGGAGCTGAGGAGCAGCTCCCGACCCTCTCTGGGCCTGGTCCTCACCCTTGTCTTCTTGGTCAATCACAGTCTCCAGTCCCCTCCCCATCCACCCCTCCTTGCCCCTTCCTCCCTCCCTGGGAGTCCCCGCCCCCTGTACAGTGTATGAACCCCACGAGGGCAGGGCCCCCTTGGTCTTGCTCGCCCCAGTGTCCCAGCACTGAGACAGTTCCTGCCACATGACAGGTGTGCAGTTCATGGCTGTTAAAGGAATGCATGGGAGGCATATTTCAGAGTGTGGATCCTTTCTCGGGAGGACTTCCACAGTAGCAATGCGGGCAGAGCCAGGAGGAGAGAGGACGTACCAGGTGCCTTCACAGCGTGGCTTGGAAATGCTTCCACTTATTTATAAATTTCCAAATTCATGCTGTTCCCAGAATATTCATGAAGGGACTAATAAGCCCAAAAAGGGATATTCAAATTGGGAAGTTGTATGTCCCACAATTACTGAAGTTCATAATCAGCAAACATTAACAGTCAGACACCGTGGTCAGGACAGGTGGGCAGCCCTGGGGCTGGGGAGTCCGACGCTGGGAGAGGTGTGGGCGAAGCCAGTGCCCACACTCAGCTCACTCCAGGTCTTCCGTCAGGAAGAACTAAGGTAAAGCCCAACACCTGAACTTGTCAGGCTGGTATTTCAATCAGTTTCTGGGTGAAAGACTACTAAGTATTTGTTGTCTGAGAGAGTAACCTGAAATTTTCTCTCACAACTGAAAATGTTACCTACAGGTAAAGCAGCATCTTGAATATATATTTTCCGAAAGAAATAGTTCCAACCAGATGGCTGTCTCCATGGTACTAGGACTACACCCGTGGATCACAAATGTCAAAGATAATCAGTATCTTGCAGCAAGAAGAGCCATCAAAACAGGTCAGACTTAAGATATTTCTAGTTGCCAGTTTACAAGGGGACCAAGGTGGGTGGTGCCTGGAGGGGCAGTGGATAAAGTGACATGTGTCAGACTCAGTGTCGACTCTCCTGTTCATGTGGGCTGCATGAGCGTCAACCCCGGGCAGGGCTCTGCACGCACACCAGCTCATGAATCCTCCCAACACCCTTCCCCTTTTCAACTTGAAGAGATTAAATAATTTGCCAAAAGGCATCCAGCTAGAATTGGCACTGCCAGGGTTCAAATTCCCATCTGGAAACCTGAATTGTGGGCAAAATGATGCACATGAAAAAGTCCGATACTTGTGGAAACGATGGCCAACGTATTAAAAAGTCCTTTTAAAGGCACAGCTGAATTTGCATGAAAGGAAAGAAAATTATCTGGGGTTAAAAATAAGGAAGGAGCTAAAGTTTAGTAAGTGAGCAAGGTGACGCCAGGCTGTCCTGCTGTGCTTTGCTCTTCCCGGTTACCAGAGCGGCTTGGATTTTGAGGGCTTCAGGCCAACCTTCAGGCCAACCGGAAGCAGGGAGTAGAGAAGGCGACCCTTACATAGAGGCGGAGCCGTCCCAAGGGCCACGCCCACCACCTTTCTATTGTGTAGTCAGCGGGGCAGCAGTGAAAGTAGGGACTTAGGCTGATGGTGCTCTTGCCCAGATGCAGGATCTCTTCCTCACTCAAACTGAAGGCATTTTACAAAACAGCTGATCTCTTCAAGAGGGTCAAGGTCATAAAAGACAGGGAAAGACAAAGAAACTCACAGCCTAGAGGCCTTGAACCAGCAGAGACAAATTGCAGGATGGGATTCTGGATTGGATCCTGGTAGAGAAAAAGGGAAAGATTGGTGAAATTCAAATAAGGTCTGAGTCTGGTTATTATTCCAATATTAATGACCTCTTTGTACAACAGCTAGTTGTACAATAGCTCTTTTACATGTTAACACTAGGGAATGTGGAGGAAGGAATATACATGGCAACTCCATACTATTTCTGCAAGTTTTCTGAAAGTCTAAAATTAGTTCAAAATACAATGTAAAACATACTTGTAAAAAGCAGGCAGTTGTGAAGCAGGCAGCGACAGGTTTCTTCTTGGCGCTGCTGACTGCCTAAGGATGTAAATCGTATGACATCAAAAACTTACTTACCCCAGCCACCAAATTTAATGGGTATAAAAAGAAAAAGAAAGATAAAGCAAGCACTGCATTCGGGAAGACCACTGCAGGCAGTCCTGTCATTATTTCAGTCACATGCCTCCTTTTCCTGTGTTGCAGTGTTTGGAGTGGAGCCCGATATGATCCGGGATGGGTCAACCATACCAGTTGCCAAAATATTCCAGGATGTTATCCAAAAGAGCGTGCTGATGATGCCGCTGGGGGCCGTGGATGACGGGGAGCACTCTCAGAATGAGAAAATCAACAGGTGAGCAGGTCCCTGTCGGGGCTGATCCCTCCCCGCGCAAGCCCAGGTCGCTGCGTCGCTGACCTCCCAACGAGCTACATGCTTCAGATTGAGTTTGTGTCTTCAAATCTTCCTGTTCAAATTGTAGACCCCCCCCCCCCATCATTTGAATGGAAATAACAGTGTTTCTCTTTATTTCTTCTTTTGTCAGGTGGAACTACATAGAAGGATCCAAATTATTTGCTGCCTTTTTCATGGAAATGGCGAAGCTGCATTAATAATGACAGGACCCTGACCGCCTAGGTAAGACGGCACCCCTGACCAGGAATAGAATCTAACCACAAGAGAATTTTGGTCCACTAAACGATGACTTCCCTCCCATTTAAAATGTCTGTGGACATTTGGGTCAATAATACAGTATTGTAGAGGCACAGACATTGGAACTAGTCCCAAGACTATGTCGCACGCCTTCGGAAAGTCAGTTACTGCCGCCAACCCCATGTCCCTGCTTCGAGCAGCGGCGCCCCAGGCTGGGCTCCCCCTCCAGCACAGGCAGCTCCTTGACGAGACTCCCCTGTGCGGTCCGATCAGCGTGACCCTCTGGTTTGCTTCTAGGTCCTGACGTGGCCCTGACACCTCATCTCTCCATCTGGTGACTGTCAGGATTCACACCACCTGTGCTTTTATCACACATTCCTTTTATCTGAGGAATAAAAATATTGGTCTCCTCTGTCAGTGCCCACGGCGTAAAAGGTTGCTAAAGCCTCACACTATGTGAACCTCTGCTTCCCCTTCATTTATATTTCCTGCTTCTTGAGGAGGTCTGAAATGGAAATGGTCCATATTCCAAACTTTAAGCCATTGGTATTACTTGTGTGAAGATAAGGACTTTTTATTCCGAGCCTCTTTACCTTTGTTGTGATTGTTGCCGACCAACCGCCCCTGCCTCCTGTTTTTTCTCCCAAGCCCCCCACTGAAGGCCTCTCTCCCCAGCAACATCTGCGTGCATGTGCGTCCCCACAGCAAAATCAATCCTGGTAGTTTTCTCCCACCCCTCTGGAATATTCGCCAGCGACTACATCTAAATTGCTCAAAGCTTTTAATAGCATCCATTTTAGATGGAGAACTAATCAGCCCTGACACCAGTAACACATTCTAAATTTAAAGCCATCAGCTAATGTTACATTCATTAATCATTTTAGTTAACCATCTTGTTTGGCCTGATTGAATTTGATGGTGTAAACAAAAAATAGAATGTGATTTTTCTACAGCTGATTGTATGTAAACAAATCAGTTCAGTCTTTATAAATTCATTATTTAAATCACGTGAATGGAGAAGAGTTTAAGGGTTCATTAAAAATGTTTCTTTTCATGATTCCAAATAAAAAGCAGAGAGTAACACATTCCATTCTCAGGTTCCTGAAATACCAGTCTTAAAACTTGGAGTGTCACATCCAAAATGACTGGGACACATGGCCAGTGATCCAGCTCACCTGGACTCTCATCTCAGAAATGGGGCCCGGCCGAGGTGCCAGCCTCGTGGGGCGTCCAGGAACACTGCACGCTTTTATCTGAGGCTGCTCTCGCCGCTGGAGGAGGTGGGCCGAGGACTTGCCCTGGGCCTCTCCTCAGGGGCATCCAGCCCTTGGTGTTGGCCGGATGCCGGGGGCCCGGCCCAGCCCCCTCTTCTGAGAACCCGACGCCTGATCTTCCAGCCTATTTCCTGTCTGAAACTCAGCCCATCCAGAACAGAACTGTTCACCCACCCTTCCAAACTTGTTTTACCTCCGGAGTTTCCTGCCTTGACAAATTGGAATCCTCAATCTTTGACACTTCCCTCTTTTTTGAATCCAATTCAATGTCAAGATCTGGGGACTCCTCTTCTCAAAAGCCACCACTTGCTTCCATTTCCACAACCACCTCCATAGCCTGTAAGCTAATTCTTCTGTCACTTTGGCTGGGTTATTGCCAAAGCCCCTTCCTCTTTGCTTACACAGCAGCCCTTTCCAATGTATGCGTCACTCTGTAGCACGCGCATCCTTCCTGCCTCCCTTCAAGGCCGGATCGGCCCTGTGGCTTTAGGGTGACGTCCAGCATCACAGAGGGGTCTGCAGGACGGGCTGCTCTGCTCTCTGCTTAGCCGTCTGCTCCACTGATACCCTCTCCTCATGCTTCCAGTTTCTCAAACAGATCTGAACAGCCCGGAACCTTCTCTGGGCCTTTCCCATCCTGGACATCACGTGTTCGCTTGGTCTGGCTGATCCCCTCACAGACTCCACATTCTTCTTCAGATCTCAGCTTAGTGGTATTTTTTCAGGAAAGCCTTCTTGGATGCCCTCGAGTGAGTTAGGTGCCCCTCTGTCCATCACAGCCTGCAAGGTCCCATTGTAGCATTTATTATACTTGCATTTAAGTACGTATTTCTACAGTTCAGCAACTACCAGACCCTCTGCCCCACTGCAAATCCCTTGAGGACAGAGGCCATGTCTCTTGTTTATTGTGGTGTCTCCAAAGTTCCAGGCATGTTGTATGTCTTCAGGAAACATACATGTGATAAATTAATGGAGATCTCAACTCTTGTATGATCCCTCTCCATGAGGCCACAGATATCCGTAATTTGCACACATCTCTCCTAGTAAACTGTAAGCTCCAGGACATCCTATTCCACTTCCAACTCATCTCTGTACCTCAGGGCCCCTGCACACAGTGGAGGCTCAGTATTGCTTGCTAAGACCTTCCTTTGGATTCTGTGGCTGCATTTTTTGGGTGTCCCTTCCTAGACTTGCTGTCCCCTGCGTGGATTCTACCTTCATACTCTTCTCCTCATGACATTCCTACTTGAAGCCACATTGGGAGCAGCTGGTACTGGGAGAAAGCACATAAAACAAGTCACGCCAAGGTGCCACTGATGGGTGAAGGCACATGTACCCTCCCAGGCAGCACAGGGGTCATGCCTTAATTCAGGGACATCACAAGCTGCACCAGGCTCTGTCGTTGTGTCATGTGGCCCTCATGATGTCCTAAGCATTTCTGAATCGGATGTCAGCATTTCAAAATCAGCAGAGTTCACACCGATGATTCCTCTTGAGCAGCCACACAGTTGGGCAATACCAATCTGCCATTTCTGTAGGCGACAAGTGGCTGAGCTGAGAGGTTGTGCTCAGCACAGCGCCTGGCCCATAACATGTACACAACATATTTCCTGGAAGGGGAATAAAAAGGAATCTCATGAAAGAAGAAGGTAATATTATTTTATTTGGCTTCTCACTTCTGCTAGTAGCTACTTTCACTCAGAAAACAAGTGCCTGAAGAAATACCATTTCATGATAGGGCCACATGACTTTCAAACACTGTGTTATTTTAACTACCTAGTTTTAAATGTTTTCAATGTCATCTAGCTATTATTTTTTAATGTCATTTTGCATTTCAAGTGTGAATATTAATTGAACATGTAATAGCCAAAGAATTAAATAATGATTTGAGGCCTGGGTTATATAAGATGAAATATAATATTTGTTTCTGCAATAATGTACATATGGGTAGATCTAGCGTAGCTAGGGTATTGATCTGTAATATGACAGCCTTTTATGACAAGCAGCAAAACTTAAGCCAAGGCCTAATACTGCTCATACTATTTCGGTTCCTCCACCGACCGACTGCGTCACACCTACACTCTATTTTTGGAGTACTTGACAAGTAAGAAAGAGAGTTCTTCCTCTGTACTTCATCGAAAAGAACTCTCCTCTCCAGGAAGTTAGCTCTGAGAGGCAGAGGCTGGGTTGGTTGTATTTTTTTATACTTTGCTCAGCTGTCCAAAGGCTCAATCAATTGATGAAGTACAAAGAAATACAGGAGATTTTCTGAAGCAAAATAATGTATTCTTTTTCCCCCAGCATACTGTGGAAAAGAATGGATGGTAGGTATAAAGACTATGACTTCTTAACAATTGTTACAAGTAAATAAATGCTTCTGAGCATTTTATGTGAAAAATTTTACTTAAAAACATTATTCTAGGGTAATTTATTCCAAATGAAAAAAGATGTCAGAGAAATTATGCCTTTGACTATAATAGAAAATATGAAGTTTTAAAATTGTCTCACCTCCCACAATGAAATTCACCAAAACAACATTCAAAAAGAGCATAGATTTAAAATTCTAGTGTGGATGGTTAAGTGTTCCTAGCATAGTCTCACTATTATTGTAGGTAGGCATGTAAATGTAATGACAGAAAATGTTAATTTAAAGGAAATTAAAACTTTAAATGATACTGTTAAAGTACATTAGTCATCAAAACAATTAGTTACCAACAATGACCAATGCTTCCTTTCAATATTTAAGTAGTTATAATCAAATAAAGGAGGCTGTCTAACATTTGAAACCCCACTTGGAGAACCGGAAGGCAGAGTTCTTGCTAGTAGGGGATGGAGGTTCTGGGCAGGAGAGAGTCCCAGAGGGCAAGTGCGACTTCAGCACGCTCCTTCCAAATGTCTGGATGAGGCGGATTCAAGCCTCCCAGCTGAGGCTGAGGGAACCGAGTGAGGTTTCTTCTGCTACTGTGATGGGAGATGAAGTGCGGAGTATGAATACAGCCAAAATAACCGACTGTTAGCAACATCAAGCCAGCTCTTCAGAGGAACATAACTGAATTCAGAATCTCTACAATATGCATACCCAGGCAGAGCTCCTGAGCTGGTGATCACTTAGAAATGGCAGTGTACACTAGAGTAATTTATTCACTGCTCTTGGCCTTGGAAGAGAAGATTCTGGCTTAAATTCCTGACTAAAGGAGCGACAGTACTGCTCTCAGACTTTGCTCCACATTAGAATACCTGAGCACTGTAAAAAGTACTGATTCCTGGGTTCCTCTCCCCCTGCCCCCAACTTTCTGATTTACTTGTGATTGGGTATGATGTTGGCACTGAGCCTTTTAAATGTTCCTGAGGTGATTCTAATGTCCAGCAGCTTGGAAACCACTCGCAAAGTGGTGCAGGCATGTTGAATGGGCTCCAGCTCAAGTTCAGAGTCCAGATTTTGCCAGCTGAGTAATCTTAGGCAAGATATGCCATCTCTCTGAGCCCTTGTTTCCTTAGCTGTAAGGTGGGTAATGAAAGCATCTTTTTGCAGGGCACTGGCAAGAAACAGTATATGTAAAACACTTACCATGGTGCCTCACAGAGTAGACACCCCACATCTGCTATTATTTATTTTTTGTTGTTTTAATTTTCTGTAAATTTTTTTCCATTTATAAATAAGAAATATTGTACGATTCGTCATTTCTTAAAGAGGAGTAATTAGGAATCTACATATTTGTGCTGCTGGGTTACCTCATAACCCAGTTCCAAACTGGGATATTCCTTGCTGCGCAGCTGAGGTCTCTTGCTAGGAAATGTCCAATTATGGGAAGCAGGTCCTCCTGGCAGTGAGGACGGAGGTCACAATTCATCCTTTGTTGGTACCACTACATCTTAAATCTCCACGGAGAGTGCTGGATGTCACATTTACCCTGTACTTCCTTCTATCTCACTGATTGAATGTATTAAGTAATCAGATTTATAAGGATACAATCAATCATACTCCATTGCCATATGAAGCTGTTGTCTCCCTATGAAGCATCCATTCTCCCCTTAGTTCCTAATTTTTGTATTTGTTCATGTGTCTACTCCTTTCCCACTCAGCTATGTGCTACAGGGAAGGTTGGGCTCCCCGAGATCCAGGTGGGCCTTCGATGTCTAAGGGTGTAGGATGGGCCTCCGAGTCAATTCTTCTATGAGTTGTGAGAGCATTTTGCTGCTGGGGCCTATGGGAAAAGTTTCTTTTCTCCTAAGGGGAAAGGAAAAGGAGCTCTCTAGTTCTTGGGACATTTTTTTCTGCCCAAATCTGATGCCTGTGATCACTTTAGCCTGAAGTTTAATCTGATATTGAGAACTGAGGAGCAGGGAAGAAAAAATACAGGTCCTTGGTACCCACAGTCAGCTACTGAATCCACCAGTGCTGAAGGCTCCTCTACGTCTGGACTCCAAGGCCTGTGAGCCAACGAGTCTCACCTGTCCTGTCGGTGGCAGTCGGGTTTTTGATACTGCAGCTGCAAGCCTCCTCAAACAGATGCAGTCACTTCACATTCGGCATCATTTCAAAGCAGTGGCACATTTTTAATTTGTGTAACTTTCTAGTTTAAAAATTGGATGTTTTTACACTAAGGATCTTGTTTATGAAGTCTTTAAAATAGATCATTAATATTATCATTTCAATTTTACTGATAAGAAAACTGAGGTTCAGAAAGTTTGGGTAACAGAGCAGTAAATGAAACTGGAAAAAGAAATGGTGTCTGTCTGACTCGCGGTCTGGTGTTGTCTACAGACACAGCCACTGACGCCCTTCACCAGGTATTTTCATTTCTCCTGAGCACATGCCAGGATGGAACTTCTGATACCTTTGAAGTTAGGTGTGGCTATGTGACTTCCCTTAGCCAATGAAATGCAAACAGATGAGAAATATTTCACTTCTGGGCTGAAGCTTTCAGAACTGGCATGAGATTCATGCTCTCCCCCTAACCCAGGAAGTGGAGATTCCGTGAGTCTGGGTCCCGCAGAGGTAAGTCATGGAGCAGTGTCCAGCAATATTTGTGATGAACTTGTAGTGGGAATAAGAAAACACATTTTTTGTAAAACGCTGAGATTAAGGATGGTTGTTAATGCAACATAGCTTAGCCTTTCCTGACTGGTGCACTCATAGAGCTAAAGAGGCTATTCCACTTTCTCTGTTTTTAAACTACAATAGTTTAATTCAGTTCCATTCTGAAATTTTATGCAGGAATAGCAAATTAATTAGCCAATTAGTCATGAAACTTGCATAGCTTTCATTAAAACAGGTTTCATATTTGGACTAACTAAACTCTAACCCCTGATGGTTCTCTCTGACGTAAGGCGAGCGATCTCTGTGTTCTCCAGTGCTTCCCTGACGTGGAGAACATGCCCTTAGGGTGCGGGCCTCGTGCCTGTCTGCGGCATCTCCCTCTTCCTGGGGCCACCTCTAGATGCCAGCCTCAGACGGGTAGGAGCAGTGCACAAGTGAGAGTAAGTCTGGGACTTCAGATGAAAACAGTCACCAAAGTCACTCAATACGGGCAGATCAGAGCACAGGATGCCACTTCTTTGAGCTTCATTTTTCTCATCTGTAAAATGGAAATAATATCCCTATTCAGAAAAGTTATAAGAATTATATGAAATAATGCATTTAAAGTTTGTAGCAGTGCCTATAGAACTGTTGATCTATTTTAATTTCTTTTGGGCATTCTCTTAATTTTTTGACATTGTAAAGAGCTTATTATTCACTATCTAATGGGACAAAACACATAGAACCAGAAAAAGATGGAACTCTGTATCAATTGCGTTATTTCCCCAAATGTAATAGGGTATACATTTTTTGGTTATGAAGTTTGAAAACCTGTGCTCTGAGTTTTTCCTTTATAACTTGCTTAGATTACAACTATGGTAGACTTGGTAATAATATTTCTGCATCATTCACATCGCTTTCTGGTTCAAGAAAACCTGACTTAAACAGTAAAGGGCCTTTTTCCTGGCTAATGCAGCTGGGAATTCCAAGCAGGGCTGGCTTTGTCTGAGTTTTGGCCTGGGCTCCGTCACTAACAGGTCTTTGCCTTCACCGGGCATCTGTGCAACCACCCACGAGTCAAACATGACCGAGTCAGGACACCTTGCTCTGCATTTCACCCTTAGAATCAGAAAACTAGTCCTTACTCAGACCAGCGGCAGCTCCCAACTGGGAACGAGGTATCCTTGAGTTGCTGACGGTGGTGCTGTGTAACGGAGTAGACCTGGCTCTCTGCTGACTGAGCAGCAATGACTGTCCCATGTATTTACTTTTTCTAAGGAAGAGCAGTTTAAAACTAAACATGATGAAGACAGTAATGTATCAATTTGGATTAGGAAATTTGAGTTCTTCATAATGCTTAATATATTTTAATTTTTTATGATTGAAGTATTATGATGAATTAAGAAAATTTGCATGGTTCACACCATCTCTCTACCAGTTACGTGTGGTTGTTGTCTTTGCTTAAGATTCTTCCTCTGCCAAGTAACACATACCCACTGGCTCCCTCTCCCTTGCTGGCACTGCTGATGGGCAGGGCCGCTGCTGAGAAGGAAGGACCAAAGAGCTGGAGAGGGAGGGCAGTACGCATAGTACCCTCCCATAAAGCCCCACGCTTGAAACTGTGTGAGAATATTTTATTTTCAAAACTATGCCGTTATCATCAGGTTCATCTGTGGCAAAGAAAGAACTATAACCTAGATGTTCCTAATTTGAGGCAGAGAGGCATCTGCAGAGAATTCTCAAAACAAGGTTCCCCTGCCCCCACCCCTTGGCAATGGCTCCGGCGCTGGTTCAGGACAGCTGTGGAAGCATTTGCGAGGGCAGATTATTCCATGTAAAAACATAATGAAGAAATTTATTCATATTAGTTGGAAAAAATCCTCATCTCTAGGAGCAGTCTAAGACCATGGTGGGGGAAGGCCTAAGCTGTACAGAGAAAGATAAACGGTGCTTTGAGGAAACTTGAGTTAAGATTACAAAACATCAGTCGATGCAGAGAGCAGTTTGAAGACAGTGGGCGGGGCGACTCCATTACAAAGAAAAGTGTTAGGAATGGGCGTGTCAGCACTGGCAGAGGGTCCAACGGAAGGGGCAGATTTTGAGCAAGCTACCCCATGGGCTCCACGATTCATTCCCACAGGAACATCCTATACTTGGCTGGTCCACACCTCAGCCCAGAAAAGTTGCTTCGCCTGATCTCCATCCCTCCAAATGTTAGACAGGAGTTAAAGCAACCTTACAAAAATAAACTCAAAATTTTTGTCCTGTGGCTACATGAAGGTGTGGGGAGAAATAAATTTTCAGCAAGACCCAAGTTTATTTATATATATATACATAGAAATTATACATATTATATAAATAATGGGGCTTAATGTTATATACATGTATTAATGTATATACATGTAAAATATATACATAATCAAGTATTCCTACCTTCTGCGTTTTTTTTCTGCAGCATTGCATGACACAGCAGGTAAACTTAATTCACCAAAGCTATCATTGTTATTACCTAAGGGAACAAAGACTTTTAATGAAAGTAACAACATGAGACACTGTTACCGTGATTTAGGATTTAGAACCTCTTCTATTAATAGAATTTTAAAATAAAAGAACTTTTATCAGAAATGATTCATTTTACGCATGAGGAAAATGAGGTCAGATTGACTTCCTTAAGGTCACAGTACAATGTAAAGGTCCGGCTTCAGCAAAATAATGGATGATGGAACTGAATAATAAACTCAAGATTTTATTTCACTGCTCAGAGAATGAAGATTAAATGTTAACCCCAAACCCCAAGGTAAGAAACGTAGCAAGATCAATCACCCAACCAACAGAAGGCCTAACCTTTACGGACAACTGTGCCAGCTACTGTGGCTATAGTCATTACCGAGAAATTTATATTGTCATAGAAGACTAACGTTGTTGAAATAATGTTAGAACTATGTATATAAGTATTACATTTTCAGGTAAATTCTAAGTAAAAAGCAAGTGAATTCTTTGAAGACAGAATCTAATTTTACTCATCGTTCACTCAGTAGGCACCCAGTAAATGTGGGTTAATCAATACATACAACATTGACAGGCTGGTCACCTGCTGTG